GTTGGGATTAAAGGCGTGTGCCACCAAAGCCCATCAGGGAGACCCCCTTCTCTCTGGCCTCCCTGCCTTGCTCTTCCTGGCACACTCTGGCTTGCGTTTGGATGGTGTTTGTCTGAATAAAGATATCTTAACCTTACAGACTACCGATCGTCTTCGCTCTCGTAATACCTGTGCTTGGGACACACAAACCAAAATAAGCCCTCTCCTCCCCAAGTTGCTTCTGGTCATGGTGTCTTTATCACAGCAATAGGAAGTGACTAGGGTAGGATGGGTGCTGATGAAGGCCAGAAGGAGGTGCCAGGTGGTCCTCACGTTGGAGCTGCATGTTGTAACAGTTAGTCACCCACGGTGGGCACCGAGAACCACAGCACAGGATGGGTGCTGATGGAGGCCAGAAGGAGGTGCCAGGTGGTCCTCACGTTGGAGTTGCATGTTGTAACAGTTAGTCACCCACGGTGGGCACCGAGAACCACAGCAAGCACTCTGAACTGACGAGTCACCCCTTCAGCCCTTTCTTTATATTTTGTTTTGTTTTGTTTTGTTTTGTTTTGAGACAGGGTTTCTCTGTGTAGCTCTGGCTGTCCTGGAATTCACTCTGTAGACCCGGCTGGCCTTAAACTCAGAGATCGGCCTGTTTCTGCCTCCCGAGTGCTGGGATTAAGAGTGTGAGCCACCACTGCCTGGCTCCCTTATTTTTTTTTTTTGAGGAGAGGATATTATGTAGCTTAGGCTAGCCTCAAATCCACTACATACCCAAGGATGGCCTCAAACTCCTGAACCTTGTGTCTCCACCGCCTGAGTGCTGGGATTGCAGGTGTACACCATTGGGCACCAGTTCATGTAGTGCTGAGGCTTGGACACAGGGCCTTGCACATACTAGGCAATCATTCATTCTACCAACCAAGCTGTGTCCCCAGCCTTGATGTCAGGGGATGGACCTTCCCACTTGACTCTGCAGGGAAGGGGCTGCTTTCCAAGACCACATCCAAGCTAGTTGGGAAGCTATGAGGGTCACTGACTCTGTGACTCCACAGGGACAGCAAACTGGTGTCAAGTCCTCTCAGGTCTATTTCCCGAGATAGCAGACAAAATGTAAGGCATTGAGACCTCTTGAGGTTTAGCCAGTGGCTCTGGGAGGAGCCCAGGCCCCAGCACGAAGAAGAGCAAGGTGCATTTTTTTCTTACTGACAGGTGAGCCAGCCAAGTGTTGACTCCAAGGTTAGGCAAGGCAGCCCCCACTCAGAATTTGCTGAAGGTGAGCCTGACTTGGGTAGGCCTAAGGGCTTCTTCAGAAGCTGAGCCAGCTAGAGCGAGGGATGCTGGGAACCAGGGAATCTTCCAGACCTGACAACTTTTCCTTGCCCCGGGCAATTATAAAGCCACAAATCACAAAGAAATGGTGGCATCAGCACCTTGGGGACCCTAATGGAATCCTGCACTATAAAAATTCAATCAGCCAGCTTGAGCTGGTATGAGGTCAAGGCAGTGAGGCTGGGGTAGACAGCCGAGGATGTTATAGGCAAGAGGACTCTCAGAGTTGGACAGACACTTTCTGTCAACCCTGTTTTCAGACCTCCTGATACAGTCCTTTGGACCTACTGGGATCAGCATCCTCCTTGGGCACTGAATCTCCAAAAGGCTCCACTGTGACTGGGAGGGGTCTGGGAGCTCTACTGTGTGTGTATGTGGTGGAGTGTGGTGGTCAGAGTCCTATCTACACGGCCGTTCCCAAAGCCCTCAGCAGTGCAGGACAGCGACAGAACATCCAGGAATCTCAAAGCTCGTGGGAACTGAAAAACAGGTGCATGCTTGTCTTCCTAGCAATGGCAGGGTGGAGGCAGGGAGGCAAGAGAGTCAGGAATTCAAAGTCATCTGTGGCTATATAGTGAATTCTCACCCAACCTGGTGACAGTGGGAAAAGGGGCAAGGACACTCTGGACAGCCACAGAAGGCCCAGAGCACAGACACTGACTCATTGGATATGACCTGCCATCCTGCAAACCTCTTCCACTTCAGAAAAAATGGGAGAGGTGACAGGAGTCATTATAGACATCCCCTGTGAAGATACTCCAGTTTCTAGATGTGGGCAGCAGGTCAAATGTCAGCTCTGAGGAGCTCAGCTGTGACTCAGCGGGCTTGGCCAAGGGCAGAGGCTTGTGCAGAGAAAGGAATTCTAGACTCTTCTGGGAGGACCCTCAGCCTCAGGGGACCTTCCTTTCTTTGTTTTAATTTGTATGGGTGTTTTGCCTGCATGTGTGTCTGTGTACTGTGTGTATGGAGTGCCAGTGGAGGCCAGAAGAAGGTGTTGAATGCTCCAGAACTGAAGTTAGAGATGGTTGTGAGCTGCCATGTGGGTGCCGGGAACCAAGGAACACGTGTCCTTAACCACTGAGCATCCTCCTAGCCCCACGAGGACAATCCTTTGTTGGGGGACTGAACTCTGCATTGCAGGGTGCTCACCAGCTCTCTTGACCTCTTCCCATCAGAAACCATTACCATCATCCAGTTTTGACATGTGTAAAAGACTCCAGCAGCACATGGGGATGCATGCCTATACTCCCAGCAGGCAAGGAGGCTGAGGTAGATGGAACACCATGAGTTCAAGAGCAGCCCGAGCTACGGAACGTGATCCTGTCTCAAAAATAAAGAGTAAATTAAATTTAAAACAGATAAGAATCCAGGTGGTGGCGACACACATATTTAATCCCAGCACTCAGGAGGCAGAAGCAGGCAGATCTCTGAGTTCAAGGCCAGCCTGGCAAGAAAGTGAGTTCCAGGACAGCCAGAGCTACACAGAGAAACCCTGTCTGGAAAGAAAAAGAAGGGGCAGGGGAGGGGGGAAGGAAAGGACAGAAAGAAAGAAAGCTGCATGTGATGGCGCACACCTTTAATCCCAGCACTCAGGAGCCAGAGGCTGACAGATCTCTGTGAGTTAGAGGCTAACCTGGACTATATAGCAAGTTACATACCAGTTAGGACTACTTTGAGACCCTGTCTTAAGGGGAGAAATAAAAGCTGAAGAGATGGTTCAGTTAGGTTAAGAAGTTCTTTTTTTTTTAAAGATTTATTTATTATGTATACAGTGTTCTGCCTGCATGTATGTCTGCAGGCCAGAAGAGGACACAGATCTCATAACCGATGATGGTTGTGAGCCACCATGTGGTTGCTGGGAATTGAACTCAGGACCTCTGGAAGAGCAGCCAGTGCTCTTAACCTCTGAGCCATCTCTCTATACATCCTGGTTAAGAAGTTCTTATCGCTTGTCATTCTTGTAGAAGATCTGAGTTTAGTTCCCAGCACCCAAGTCAGGCTGCTGACACCCCTGCTTCAGAGCACCGAGCTCCCTCTCCTGGCGTCTTCTGGCATTGCACTCTAGTCACACACACACACACACACACACACACACACACACACACACGCACACACACACGTTTGACAACATTTACAAAGGGAGAGGACAGGCACTGATACTCGGTGGTAAAGGAACTTGCTGTGAAGTGGAAAGACCAGGGTCTGATACTTGGGACCCAGGAGTAGAAGGAAGTTGTCCTGACCTCCACATGCACACCATGGCATCCACACAGTAAGTGAATAAATGTAATTTAATGAAAAAAATTTGAAACAGGGTGTCTCTGTGTAACAACCCTGGCTCTCCTGGAACTCGATTTGTGGACCAGGCTGGCCTCAAACTCACAGAGATCCACCTGCCTCTGCCTCCTGGTGCTGGGATTAAAGGTGCGCTCTACCACACTCGGCAATTTAATGCATTTTTAAACCCTCCCCCTAAAGGGAAGAAGCTGGGCGTGGTGGTTCTTGCCTGTAATTATAACACAAGGGGATCAGTTCAAGTGTATCCTGAGCTCCCTGAGACTCTGTCTCAAAAACAAAACAAAACCTCAACAGCAACCAAAACACTTCAAAAGTTAAGACAACACAGTGTGTCCAGGGAGCAGAGCCTCCTCCACCCCCACCCCCAGGGGAAAGCAGTTTGGATGCAGATATGGAGCTTTGTGAGGGGCTGTGGGAGGCTTTGTGTACTGCCCTCATGATGCTGTCTTTCTTTCAGGGAGAACCAATGGCAGGGTCCACTGTCCCCAAGGTGCCCACGCTGTTCCTGGTCCTCCTGCTATTTCCGGAGCTCCACGCGGCAGGCACCTTTGCATCTGCATCCTCGGCCCAGAACCTGCCTGACACCCCTGCCCACCACCCCAGCTCTACACTGTGGATGCCTCAGGCCAGTCATCACGGCCGAAGGGGCCCGGGCAAGAAGGACAGGGGGCCAGGCCTGTCCAGCCGGGCCCAGGAGGGGGCTGTGCTCACGGCCCCTGGGCAAGCTTCCCGGATCACACTGGGACAGCGCCCTGCCGGCCTTCTGCAGGACAAGGAGATGCTTCTGGGGCAGGCATTGCCCTCTACCGCGAAGGAGACGCGCTATTCCGGATGGGAGAGGATGAAGAAACGCGGCAGAGAGCACAAGAGGCGCAGGGACCGGCTGCGGCTGCACCGAGGTAGCTGGAGACCTGTGGGCCCCCCACGGGGGGGAGGCTCTAGGCCAATGCCAAGGGCAGGAGTGGTCAGAGAGGCAGTGTTTTCAGCCCCGGAGAGACCATTCAGAGCCCCCAAAGGGGCAGAAGAGGGCTCGCCGAGGAGGGGGAGCATCCTTCTAAAGAGGGAGTGGTCGGCTAGGGAGAGGAAGCAGGGAGCGAGGAGGGGGAGGGACCGAGGTGGAAAAGCGGGACCTCAATAGAAGGTCCGCCCTCCTTAAGTGATCAGCCATCCTCCTAGGCACGGAGACCTGCCTGCTTCTCACCTAAAGCTAGCCGACTCCAAGCCCTGTCTGCCTACCGGGAAGAGCTCCCTACATACTCTAATGAGCTCCGGAACAGAGTGGGGGGCTGAGTGCTCGGACTCCGCAGCCAGATCTGCTGAGACCAGGGTCTGACTCCACTTCTCACTAGTTTGTGGCCTTGGGAGAGCCACCTTCCTAAGCCTCGGTTTGGCCCTCTGCAGAGATACTGCCCAACCTTAGTGTAGGGGGAGGTGACCGGATGCGCAGAGATCTTAGGCTTAGAGGTCAGGGAAGCAATTGCTACTAAATCCTCGGCTCCCCAGTCAGCACACTCCAACCCTGCACACCAGTGACCCCATGTGGTGGCCAGCTGTCTGTCACCGTGACAGACTGCTGTCAAGGTTGTTCTGGGATCAGGGATTCAGAGCCTAGGGTTGCTTGGACCTGCAGTGAGGCAGAGCCTCGTGGAAGTAGCATGGAGCCGCTCACCTCATGGTGCCGGTGGCTGAGAAGACAAGCAGGAGGGAGAGAGAGAGAAACAGGTGTGTGTGTGGTGGTGTGTGTGTGTGTGTGTCTGTGTGTGTGTGTCTGTGTGTGTGTCTGTGTGTGTGTGTCTGTGTGTGTGTCTGTGTGTGTGTGTCTGTGTGTGTGTCTGTGTGTGTGTGTCTGTGTGTGTGTCTGTGTGTGTGTGTGTGTCTGTGTGTGTGAGTGTGTGTGAGTGTGTGTGTGAGTGAGTGTGTGTGAGTGTGTGTGTATGTGTGAGTGTGTGAGTGAGTGTGAGTGTGTGTCTGTGTGTGTGTGAGTGAGTGTGTGTGTGTGTGTGTCTGTGTGTCTGTGTGTCTGTGTGTGTGTAGGGGGGAGTTGAGAGAGGGGGAGAGAGAGGAAGGCACAGCACAGGAATCCCTGGGTCCCCATATTCATGTCAAAGGCACCCCCAGTGACTCAAGTCCTTTCCCCTAGGCCCCATCTCCCAGAGGCCCCACAGCTTCCAAGTACAGCCACAGGCTGGAAAGTCAAGTTTAAGTTTTATTTGTATTATTTTAATTATGTGTGCATATGTGTGAATATGTGCACGATAGTGCAGTGCCTTTGGAGGCCAGAGGCATCAGATCCCCTGGAGCTGGACTTAAAGGAGGTTGTGAGCCACCTGACATGGGTGCCAGGAATCAAACTCAGGTCCTTTGCCAGAGCAGTGCACGCTCTTAACTTTTGAGTCATCTCTCCAGGCCCAAGACCAAGCCCGGGTCCTTGGGACAGCAGAGATCTATACAGCAGCGTCTACAGAGAGGTGGCACCTCTAAGGTCTGCCTGTGTTCACCCTCCTTAACAAACTCGCTCTCACTGTGGTCACCCAGGCTGAGGCTCCTGTGGCCCAAATGAACAATGTCTGACAAACCTGGGTGTCTCTAACCAGCTGGCCCCTTCCCAGCCTCTCCTGGCCCTGAGCCTGACAGGCCGCCTGTCTCCTAAGTCTCTTCATGTGAGAAGACTACCTCTGGGCGTGGAGCAACTGCCTCAGATGGGCTGGTGGGGGTTTCTCTAGGAAGAAAACAGAGCAGCCGCAGCCCCCTTCTCCTGCACATAGTGAGAGAGCAGGCTCTTGCCTCCCTGCAGGTCAT